TTGGCTAGGTTTATGTTATGCATATGAATGTATTGCCTGTATGTGTGTAAGTTCACCCATGTCACATAATGCCTGCAGAGGCCAGAAGAGGGTGTCAGATCCCCTGGAGAGTTACAGACAGTTGTTAGCCAACATGTGCTGGAGTTATGGACAGTTATTAGCCGACTTGTGGGTGCTGGGACTCAAACCCAGGTCCTCTGCAAAAGCAGCCAGTGCTCTTAACCACTGAGCCATCTCTCCAGCCCCTTCTACCTCATTCTTGATTGCAGTATGATCATTTTACCTCATCTAATATCTATAAATTTGCTTTTGGAAAAAAAAAGTTGCTTTGATGCCAGGCATGGTGGCACATGCCTTTAATTCCAGCACTTGGGAAGCAGAGGCAGGAGAATCTCTGTGAATTCAAGGCCAGCCTGGTCTACATGGTGAGTTCCAGGACAGCTGGGGCTACAGGGAGACCCTGTCTCAAAAAAGACCAAAATAAAAGTTGCTTTGTTTTATCTTTTTTAAAAAAATATTTTATTTATTATTTTTATTTTATGTGTATGTGTGTATTGTCTGCATGCAGGTAAGTGCATCTGTATCATGCAGTGCCCAAGGAAGACAGAAGAGGCTGTCGGATCCCCTGGAACTTGAGTTATCAACAGTTGTTAGCTGCCATGTGGGTGCTGGGATTCAAACCTGGGTCTTCTGCAAGAACAGCCAGTGTTTTTAACCTCTGAGCCATCTCTCCAGCCCACTTTCTTTTATCTTAAGAGAAATCAAACACCTTTCTTGACAACAGCCTGCTTACCCTATATGCCTGCCACAACAGTGTTTCATATTAATAAAAAGCAACTAATAAAAAGCAACACTGGAGAGGGCTAATAGGACATTAATCTCTCTCTCTCTCTCTCTCTCTCTCTCTCTCTTGTGTGTGTGTGTGTGTGTAGGCCAGAGGCCAGACCAGAGGTCAACCACAGGTGTTGTTCCTCAGGAATTGTCCAACTTGTTTTTTGAGACAGGGATTACAAGAATGTACCACCATGCTCAGCTATTTTATGTGAGTTCTGGAGATTGAACTCAGGTCCTCAAGCATTTTAGTGATTGAGTCATAATTTTACTCCCCCTCCCTTTTTGTTGAGACAAGTTCTTGTAGCTTAGGATGACCTTGAACTCACTATGTAGCCCAGGATGACTTTGAACTTGTGATCTTCCTTCCTCCACTTTTCAAGTGGTGCTGAGATTATAGCCATATGCCACCATCTGGGCTCTGTTCTTTTTAGGCCTGTGGCAATGTGACACAGCAGGGCAGGAGTACATAATGGAGTAAAACTTGTCTCCTCTTGCCTAAGAAACAAAAAAGCATGAAAAGAGGCAGAGGGTCCCCTAATCACATTAAAGGGCATGACTGCAGTGACCTAGAGACTTCCCATTATGTCCTACCTCTTAAAGTTCCATGGCCTCTAAATGTTATACTGTGAAGGCTGTCTTTAAATGTAGGCCTTTGTGTTACTGAAGATATAAACTAAGCTATTCTGTCTCTGGCCCCAAAATGTTCTGTCCATCTCACAGTGCAAAATGTATTCATCATACTCTAGGAGTTTGCAATATCTTTTTTTAAATAAATAATTTGAGAATTTCATACATGTATATAAGGTGTTTGGATCAAATCCATGCCTACTTCTTCCCCTCCAACACCTCCCATATCTCCCCATCACTTTTTTCTGATAACTTCATGTACTCTTTTTTCTTCTTTGATTGATTTATTTATTTTTATGGGGCTTTTGGCTTCCCCTCCAACATCCCCCGCCCCAAGAGGTAACCCTAAAATCTTTTAAGGATTAGATACAAGCTCACAAATACTGTCAACATTTTTGGCCTTTGGAACAGAGTATGTTGCTAAGAGGCCCAAGGACATTTTGACTTTTAGCCAAGAAACTGGCTACTTTTCTTTGGGGTCTTTTTACCCTGCCTAGCCAATTCCTACCTCCTATTCTTATCACACCATACTCTGAAGAGGTGACCCAAACTGCCAGTAGGGAATAGGGACGCAGACTGCTCTGGCTTCTTCCATGCTGAACAGGGATGCAGGGTGAGGCAATGGGTCTATCTAGAAGATTCCCAAACTGTATAACTCTTATCTCTAAGGGGAAAAGAAAGCCCTTGACTGGTGAATAGGAGATATGAAGAAGTAAAGGCAAGAGTAATTAGCATTACAAATTCTAGACAGGGAACTAGAAAAAAGTCAGAACGGGACAATTTTCAAATGTTCATATGAGAGTCCATTGGAATTTCTTGACAAGGGCTTTCAAAAGGATCCGCCTCATTTTTCTTTTGTCTTTCAAGGCTGGACTTGAGAGTGATGGATTCAGGATTTGCTTTCAGGTATTTTGATAGCTATTGGAGTGGTTAGAATCAGTGTCAGTTCCCTCTCAAAGGCTTCTAGGTAGGGGGAGAAAACACATTTATCCATCATTTTAGAACAATAGCTGATTGTCTCCCTTTGCTACAGGTGGGCACTACAGTTTTGGAGACCAAGATTTGAAGTTTTACATCTGAGCAGCATTTTCTAGTTAGAAACAAAATCATCAATGAGAAATAATTGTCTAAATAACTTTTTATATAGACTTAAGCCTAAAGTCTGGGAAGTGTAATCCCTTGAACACTTAAAGACATATACTGATGACTTTACTCTTTGGTTATACTTTCCTTTTGGGTTTTTAAGACCATACAGTTGGGCCAAATAAATCAATTTATTTTTACACTTAAGGTCATTTGAGGATCTGTTCCTCAGGGGTCACATGGGCTTGGGAGGAGCTCCTGGCTTTTTTTTTTTTTTTTAACCAGTTCCAGCTATGTGAAGATAAATCAAAGGTCCTGCTCAACCATGTCTGGCTTCACTTGGAAGCATGAATGTTTCCTTTGAGTTGACCATCATCTTTGTAGACTGGACACTGGTTCAACTCCATCTTGTGGGGTCTCCATGTCCTCCCTGAACAAAAGGACTGTGACTCACCACAGTTACAGGACATTTTGAGAAGATGTTCCTTAGTCCCCTGGAACTTAGTCAGAGGGCAAGGGGAAAAAACTGTCCTTTAAGTCCCTCTGACCACATTAGCATAGGCCTCAAACTAATTATCATGTACTATGTAGATAAGGCTTGGGTAATAAACCAAATATTCTCAGATAAACCTTGACTACATATATATATTGTATTCGTAAACTAGTTGACTAAACTATGACCATAGACATTTTAAGATTATGTGTATTATTATTTTTGTCTCATCTTTTATATATCTTAACAAACCTAAACAGACCTTCATCACTTGCTTTGGCTTTCTCATTTTTTTCTATTTTGGAAAATATTTCCATTCCTATATCCTTTTAACATCTTTTACATTCTCATTTTCTTCTTAAATGTTCCAGTATTGCCCAAAAATTCACATCCAAAGTCTCTGTGAATCAAGGCAAACTCAGCTGTGGGCTTTTCTAAAAAATTAAGAGGCAGACGTGATGGGTCATGCCTATTATCCCAGCCCTTGGGAAGCTGAGGCAGAAGAATCACAAGTTTGAGACCATCCTGACCTACGTAGTGAGTTTCAGGCCAGTCTGAAATACAGTGAGACCCTGTCTTTAAAAAAAATAGTCAAAAGGATGCTATATACTTCCAGACTACAATGGTAGGAGTTACATAAACACCCCCTCCAAAAAAGAGAATAGAAAAAAATTAAACCAAAACAAGACAGAAACCCATCAAGGAAAACATTCAGTCCTATAGCCCATGTACAGCGTATGGGATATCCTGGGGCAAGCAGTAGCTCCCCATGTCCTGGACAGGCTGCCTGGCTGATCGCAGGACACATGGACTCTCTTCGGTGGCTGTTTACTCCTTTCAGCTGCATGTATTTCTTGTTCTTGCAGTCTGCATTCCTGTGGCCTCTAAGATAGTTTTGCCTTCATTCCCACAGCTTCATGTCACCGCCCTTCGAGAGGCTCCCTGCAGGCATTCTGATCATTTTGCACACTGCCTGGCCTCCCAGGCTTTCCTGTGAAATGTTGGCGGAAGCCTCAGTTACCCCATAGCTTTTTCATTCTCCATTCTTGCAAAATCAGCATCGTGTGTACGGTGCTAAGGTCTGCTGTCATTGTGAGCAATCCCTGAGTCCACATGGACTGTGACTGTGGCAGCCTCCGAGTGTCTTGCTGGTTGAACATAAGTCTTAGTTACTTTGGGTCTTAATTACTTTTCTTGTTGCTATAATGAAATGTCCTGACAAAAACAATTTAAGGAAAGAAGGGTGTGTTTTGCTCACAGTTTGATAGCACAATCCGTCAAGGCAAGGAAGACTGGAGCTTGATGCAATGCATCACATTGCATTTGCAGCCAGAAATCAAAGTGATAAATGCTAGTGTTTGGGTCACTCTCTCCTTTTAATTCAGTCCAGGACCCCACCTTCTCAAGTGGGTCTTCCGACCTCAATTAACCTAATCTGGATAATTCCTCACTGGTGTGCCCAGAGGCTGACCTAATCTTGATAATCCTCTGTGGTAAGTGCCAGGTAGAGCTTATTCTAAGTGATTCTAGATCCTGTTTTGTTGGCAATCACTATTAACCATCACAATAAGAAACTAATCTGTGGGTACCTTTAAGCACACACTGATGCCTAAGGCTCTTGAAGGAAAGTCTTTGAAGCAAATGTGTGTTTCCACACCTTTGAATTTGTGTTGTGGATAGCCTTGGAGATCGTTGAAATGCCTTCAAGGCATCCGTCTGTGTAAAGCTCTGGGCTTCTACTTACCAGAGCTAATATAGGCTTCCTCCTTTTGTTCACCGGTCCTCCTGATCTCACAAGGCCCACCTCCGAGGATGCTTTCTCCCTCTGGGAGTAAGCAGAGTTGTCAGGGGCTAAGCAGAGTGTCTGTAGGGATTCCCCTTTCCTTCTGGACCTTCTAAGGGTTCTAGACCCTATGTTACCCTGCCAAAGAGTCAGAAATGGAAGAGACTCCAGGGCCTGGGCATGCAGGGTGGCTCCAGTGATGCAGGTAAGGGCGAGAAGCTTGGTGCATCTTGTTCTCCTTCAGGCCTCAGGGTCCTTCCTATACAGCGTCTTTCTGCCCCTTCTTCCTTCCCTCCTCCCTTCACTTCTTGGTGCTTAAGTGGAAGAGGAAGCAGGCTGTCAGCAAGAGCATAGCTATATTTCCCCTGCAACCACACTCCTCTCTCTCCTCAGTGTGCCTGCAGCCTTTCCCTAGTAGAGCCCTGGGCCGTGGTTCTGGGCACACAGGAATGCCGCAAGGATGATGGGGAGTTCCAACCTCCTTCAAGTACTGTGTGCAGAGGTTCAAACCCTCATCACTCTTCCACCACAAAGGATGCACACGAGCTTATACCCTGGGATGCACTGTTGATGTCCCCTACTACCACTAATGCCAAAATAATACAGTGGACACCATTTTGTTGTTGTTTGTTTGAGACAGGGTCTCCCTGGCCAGGAGCCTCTCTCTAGTAACAGAAGTATGTTATAAGCTTAAATTTTTCCTTAAATTATCTTACATTATCAAATAAGTTTCTGTGGATTAGAGAATAAGTTCCCAGACTTCACTTCAGATTTTCAGGGATTAAACCTCAGAGGTACCAAGAAGGCTCAAGGATGCAGAGGGGAGGGTGGACCAGAAAAGGGTCTCCTCCCCATCATTTTTTCAAAGTAAACCATAGCTCTCACCTCAAAGGAAGGGTCTGTTTTGAGACAGTTTTGATATGCAGCACTGGCTGGCCTGATGCTATATAGCCCAGACTTGTGTCTAACCCACAGTAATCCTGCTGCCTTAACCTCTTAAGTGTTTGGACTACAAGTGTGTGCCCCAATCCCTGGCCCAGAGATGATCTATGCATGAAATGTGAGTGACCACGGCCCCAGAATATAGAGTCACGTTTGCTCCAAACAACATGTTTCAGCATGAAGACAGTTTTATGAAAATTTTGTAGTTACAGAACAAAGGAAGGCCATAAATCAAAGCATTTTTCAAATTCATTGATGGGAACATCAGGTAGGCAGGTTCAGCAAAGTAGAAAAGCCTCTGCTAGAATTTTCAGATGCTTGTCTCAAGACATGCTTTGCTTTGGGGGTTGTGGAAGCTAAGTGTCTGCTAAGCTAAGACATTCCAGAAGTTTCATGTGATAGTCAAAAGGATGTTAGTTAGACACAGTTGAGGGCAACGAATGACTGATAAGGAGGCTCTGGATCCACAACGTTCCACAATCCAGAGTCACTTCTACCCAATCAGCTTTTATTGTACTTTCTCTGGTAACTTTAGTCCACACAGGCAGCTCTAGGGGAAGTTGCTCCTTCCTGGAGACACAAGTTTACTTGAGAGTAACAAACATGGCCGTCTCAGTTCAAGCCTATGTAAAATTTCACCCTAGAACCTAGAGGATTACACGCCAGAGGATCCAGGATCTCCAGCCACAGAGAACCTAGAGGATTATACCCCAGAGGAGCATGAGTAACATCTGGCAGCCAATTTTTACATCATCCTCCAGCTTGATCTGTTTTATAAAAGACAAGGAAAATGTTCAGAGTTGCCCTACGTCCAAGCCTTTAAGGCTTTAAGTGTAAAACCCAAATTATATCAGAACTGTGCAGTAGAAAGTACCTAACCCAGCCACCTGTGCAGGCCAACGCTTCCCCTGCTCTGACCAAGAGAGGCCTTAAAAATTGAAGAGCATGGGGAGAAGGCCCAGCCTCCCCACACCCGTGCCTTATGTTTCCAATTCAGCTTCCTGAATTTTTTCATTAAAATATTAGGATTTTTTTTTATGGAGCTGGAGAGATGGCTCAGTGGTTAAGAGCACTGACTGCTCTTGCAGAGGACCCAGGTTCAATTTCCAGTACCCACATAGTGGCTAACAACCATCCATAACTCCAGTTCCAGGGAAATCCGACGCCTTCTTCTGACCTCCTCGGGCATTGCATGACACGGGCACACTTACATACATGCAGGCAATACACTCATACACATAAAATAAAAATAATAAAGTATTAAAAACTTGGAATTTTTTTAAAGAAAAAGAAGGCAGAGGAGCCATCAGGTGGAAAAAGAGAAAGAAAAGGTTGTAAAAAAGACTTTAAAAAAGGATTTTTTTTTTTTTTTAGGAGAAAGAATTTTATATCTAAAATAAGGTTTTGCTCCAAAGTAAAGGATTGCTCCAATATGGAAATAGAGAGATAAGACCAAATCCAGAAGGCTAAAGTGTGTCACAAAAAAAGATCTGTGTGGGGCTGGAGAGATGGCTCAGTGGTTAAGAGCACTGGCTGTTCTTGCAGAAGACCCAGGTTCAAATCCCAGCACCCACATGGTGGCTAACAACCATCTGTGACTCCAGTGCCGGGGGATCTGATACCCTCTTCTGTCTTCCTCGGGCACTACAGGACATAGGTGCCTTTACATACATGCAGGCATAACACTCATACATGTAAAATAAAAATAAAATTTAAAAATTAAAAAAAGATCTGTGAAAAATGGAACTTGAAGAAAGATGGCATATGTATGATTAAGTTTGTTATAATTAAAAATTAATTTTTTCACATAGGATCTATATTTAGTGCATTAATGCAAATCTGAAATCTAATTCTGCTTAAAATATTTTAAGCTGGGTGTGATGCATGCATTTAATCTCAGTACTTGGAAGGCAGAAGTCAGCAGGGGATCTCTGTGAGTTTGAGGCCAGCCTGATCTACATAGTGAGTTCTGGGCTGGCCAGGCTACATAAAGTTATTTATTTATTTAGAGACAAGGGCATGTGCTCCTAACCACCAAATCATCTCTCATGATTTTAAAGTCTTTTAAATATTCACTTTGTAACTGTAGTTAGATAAGTAATTATTTTGTCATAGTATTTTTAGTGCAATATATGTGACTAAAAATGTGTCCATCTAAGTGCTGTGTGTCTAAGCTTTATCTAAATGTTATGCAAAAATTTTAAATAAAATGTACTAGTTCCTCTTCAAGGCTGCTGAAACTGACCTGGGTTTTCAACAACCAAACTTCTAGAACAAAGGCAAGAGGATCAAGGGGCTAAGAAGACAGCCAATATTTTTCCCTTGTATCACCCTGGTGTTAGCCAAGTCCCAGGGGGAAGCGTTTGAAAGCACCCTACAATTTCAATAAGTCACTTATCCTCTTGGAGCAAAGAAGCTATGGAGACTCCAGAGGTTGGACTCTAACTAGCATGCTCTGCCAGGGGAGAGTCATTAAAAGAGGGAATGTCCCCAGTGCTTCCAAGATAAAGGAGACCCTGACCTATCCCAGCAGATGGCACAACTGGTAGAGGAAAAGAAACTAGAGGAGAAAAGGGGCCTCTCATCAATCCCTAAACGTAAGCCCTATGGAGCCTCAACTGACCCTGGCAGTACGAAGGAAAATGATTAATTTTTGGCCACCTTCATGGTTTGAAACACTCAGCAGGAAAGTGTAACCAGAGTGGAGTAATTAGCATTAAAAAAAAGGAGCAAAGAGCTAGACAATAGTTAAAAGGTTAACTCTGAACACTATTTCAACTATTACAAGATCTACTCGGGACAGCAATGGAGACAATGTTAGTGAAAAAAAGCTGACAAATTCCTGAATCTCTAGTCACACCTGTGGCATCTTAACCAACAGTCATTGAGTCCAGATTCCAGGCCAGGGAGATGTTTCCATTAGTAAAAATGCTTGCTACTCAAACTTGATGACTGGAATTTGATCCCTGGCACTCAGGCAAAAAGCTGGATGTGGTGGTGTACATCTCTAATCCCAGTACTCCTGTCACCAGGTGGGAGAGTGACACAGAGAATTGGCTAGCCAGAAGCCTCCCTATGCAGCATTGTGGCAGAACAAGAGAGACCCTGCCTCAAACAAGGTGGAAGGAGAGCACTGACTTCTGAAAAGTTGTCCTCTGACCTCCAAATGTGTGCCATGGTCCATGTACATTTGCACATACACGCACGTGTGTGCGACACACTCACAAACAAATTAATTAAACGAATAAATAAATACATAAAAATTTAAAAGTCCAGATTCTAGTCTCATTAGCCCTTCCAAAAGCACATCCATAGAGGATCAGGAGTTCAAGCCCAACATAAAAAAGCTGGGCATGGTGACACAGACTTGTAATCTCAGTGCCGGGGAAGCAGAGACAGGAGAATCCCTGGAGCTCACTGACCAGTCAGTCTAGCCTAATCAGTGAGTCCCAAGTTCTACTAAAAAGGGCCCTGAACCAGGTCTTAGTATGTACCTAAACAGCTCTACCAGTCTAAGCCCCACTCCACTCTCTCATGATTCATGATGTATTACTTGCTTGTCTTGTTGCTGCAACAAAATACCCGACAAAAACAATGTAAAGAAGGGAGGGTTTGTTTTGGCTCACAGTTCCAGAGGACACAGTCTGTCAGGCAGGGAAGGTATAGTGGCAGGAGCAGGCAATGGTCACATTGTGTCCATAGAAAACAGAGCACTGAATACTTGTGCTCACCTCACTTTCTCCTTTTTATTCAGTCCAGGACCCCAGTGAAATGGTACTGCCCACTTTTAGGGTGGATCTTCCCATCTCAACAAACCTAATCTGGATATCCCTCAAGACATACCCAGAGATTTATTTCCATGGTGATTCTAAATCCCATCAAATTTACAGTCAAGATTAACAACCATATCTGGACTGTCCAAGTAGATTCCAATCTCTCCATGTAAAGCACAGCTAATTCTGTAACTAGCAATTTTTATACTAGATATGAATGGCCCAGCCAATGGTATCCATTGGATCTGCCTCCCCAGTGGAGCTTGTTTGGGAAAAAAAATGGCCTAATTCAATGTCTTTACACATTCCCACATATTCTAATCCAACTAGATCTGAGCAGACACAAAGTTTCCCTTAAATTGAAGGTCTGTTGGCTCCCTCATGCTACCTACACTTTCCTGGGCTTACCAGTTACCCTCCAGAAACTTCTAGGGAACCACTGGCTCTCCACTCTCCCAAAGGATACCTTCTTGTCTGTGGACACAGTCTA